GCCCCGCTTCGCTCCAAGTTACTTTGGCGGCCGGTGGGAAACTGCGGGAGGAAGGCGCCGCGTAGACGGGGACTGCGCGCTCGTGGCCCCGGAGGGCTCACGGCCCCCTTGCCCAGCCTCTTCTGTGCGTCAGCCGGGCGATCCCAGGAAACCTCGGAGGAGTCGGAGGTGCTGCGGTGCCGGGCGCTGCGCCGAGAGGGGTGGGGATCCGGAGCCGCGAACGCAGCCCCGCCGGCGTCCTGGAACTGGTTAAGCGGCAGCTGCGCCGGCGAGGAGCGGGCTTGCCTCGAGAGCCTCAAAGAAAAGTTTGGCTGATCGCGTCTTCCGGCAGATCCCCCGGCGGATCGGACCTCGGCGCAGCGGAAGAGGGCACCCCGGGTGCCGGCCGAGCCTCGGGGATTCCTCGCGCGTGCTTTTCTTGGCTGGGTGTGGGTGCACCAGAGTGAATGGAGAGCAGAGGTTGAGAGCCAGCCAGCCAGGCGAAGCTGGGATGCCCAAGCCTGCAGGACCACGCCTGCCCAACAGTGCGGCTGGAGAGCGGGAGAGGAAACAATCACTTTCAAACGGATCCCTCCAACTCCTGGACGGGCTGGTGTCAGTCTCCGGTCGCCTTCCGGGAGCGAGCGGAGCCCCCACGCGCGGTGCCTGGGGCCCGGGCTGAGCGCTCAGAAGTGTCCCTGCGACTCCAACGGGTCCGGCCCCAAGCCTAGCAACTTGTAGAGATGCATCAATCAGTTTGAAATGGGAAAAGAGGAAGGAAAAAAAAAAGAGGGAGGGAGGGAGAGCGCACGAGCGAGTGGCACCTCCCCGATGACTACATCAGAAAACCTTCCCGATCCTCCCGCAGCTGCTCCTCTTTCCCTCCTTAGGCACAGCAGCAACAGAGGTGAAAACCACCAACCGAATGCTAAAACCCCTACCCAGGCGGGAAAATAAATAAACTTGAGTGCAGCCCGCGGCAGCACGAGCAGCCCTGGAGAGATGCAAACGGCTGGCAAGAAGTGGAAAGGGGTAAAAGTCAGTTTTGCAAGAGAGGAAGAAAAAAAGAGAGAGAGAGAAAATGCTTTATGGGAAAAAAAATCTCCTCGGGCACGCCCCCTCGTTAATGACTTGCGTGTGAAGCCGACAGCAGCGGCG